TTGTTATAGGAAAGATATTAGAACTCCAAATGATATAGGGGAAATATTATAACTCCCAACCTGTTAGATATCGTACATTGAGTTGTGTTCCCCAAAACTGAAGAATGAATTCTAAGGAACAAGGGAGGTTAAGAGTAGTAGTTATGCCTTCATCTTGTGTCCAATCCACTTCCCTTTTATCTACTTTTGTTCCTTAGAAAGTGTTATTTGATTTCTTCTGAGTACTCAGTATTTTCCTCTCCACTTCCCCTTTAAAATTTCACTTTAGCAACAAAACATGAAACCAAAACCATTCACTTTGAATACCACCCAAATTTTATAAATAAGCTTCTAGAGAAAAAAAATGATTCTTTTCTTTCAAGCTCAAATATGCTAAAAATTTATCTTACAGGAGGAAAGAAGAGTAAAAGAAAGTCACTTAGAGAGATGGGCTGATTTTTTAAAAAAGCCAGAGTAATACAGTTTGAAATATGTCAACATTTAAGAATAATCACTAGTCGTTCAAAACATAGATCCAGAACTTTCTAGACAAGAAATGGAGGAAAGAGGAACTGGCAGAAAAGAACAGAGAAAACATGACTAGTGTAGAGATGGAGAAATGAAAAGCTGCAGGACAGTTGTGGCATCGCCATGCCTGCTAACACCTGACACAGAGTATCTCACTATCCTGCCTAGGCTGGTCTTGAATTTGTGGGCTCAAGTGATCCTCCTGTCTTGAGGCCTGAGGTAGAATAGAAGAAATAAAGATCGGTGAAAAAGGAGACAAGAAGAATCAGAATTTTGAAATTTTACTTACAAAAACCCTGAAGTTGCAGGACACAAAAGTGACTGAAGCCCAGTTTAAATGTTCCTCTTTCCTCCAAAGGTACAATAAGCCTGGGCCATGACATTTTATCTGTAAAGTGGCTTTTTTCATCCATTAATAGCCTACCTCTTTTACCTGTAAATTGTACTTCCTGGATCCTCAAGGAAGCTGTAGTATCGATGGGTCAATTTCAAACACTTGGAAATGGTTGGCATTTAGACACAGCCCGGCCCGCCAAAAGGATGATCCGGCAGAAGGTAGGAATAGGTGTCCTAGTCGTCCATCTTGAAAGCCCACACTTCTTGTTCTGGGAAGGGAGTCAGTGAAACTCCAATGTAATTCCACAAGTCAGGATGGTTTTGGAACCTCTTTGGGTCAATCCAGCAACAGTCTCGGCCTCCCAAGTTGGTACAGGGATGACAGTCTGATGACAACATCCAGATGACAACATCTGGCCAAGAAAAGGTTAATTTAAACAGAGAATAAAATAAAATGACTGGGTCCCAAGTTCGATCCCTGGAACCAAAAGTAAATAAATAAATATAAATAAAATGACTGGGAAAATGGGTTGCTCATCCTGTAGATTTACATTCTCCCCACAGAAAGTAAAACAATTGCAAACAATTTAAAAGAAAAATTAAATTATACTGTTTTAAGAAGCACCTTGTAGGCAGACAATAGTCAAAACATACCTGAAAATTATAAATAGAAATAAAAACGGAAGACAGGAATATATCTTACAAAGGATATTTTAAGGCAAAAACACATAAAACTGGACCATGTAGAATTTATTCATTTTATTTCTGGAAACAAAAACCGATTTTGGAGTGTATCTGAAAGACCCACATGCGGACATTGTAGCTGGGATTTAAGAAGGAGGA